ACGGAATGACATCAAAGAGAATAAATACGTGAGGACAGCAAAGGATCTTCGAGAAAGAGCAGTAATTAACAAAACTAACTATGAAGCCACAGTAATTCAAACCACGAAGCACCAGCAAAAACATGGCAAACTTTAGAGGGTACAAAATAGACAAAAAGAACTAACGAATTCTTCGCATCACTATTCCTTAAGAAGTTCATCCTTCCCCCAGTGCTCCAAGGTGCCAGTTCTGCATAAATCAAACACGTGTCCGCATACGCACCCTTCTTCTTCTTCGATTATTAGGATTTGCTCTTTGCCGTTTTAAGTTTTAGAATCAGCTCATCAAAATCTCTCCACCTTTTCCCCCCAGCCCCCATAAAAAACTGTTGTGATTTTTAACTGGAATCACCTTCTCTGTAGGTCCATTTGGGAAGAACGGACATTTTTATGGTAGTCTTCTTCATCTCTAAACATGGTATCTCTCTCCATTTAGTTAAGTCTTTTTCAATGCCTTTCAGAAGACACTAAAAACTGCGCTGTACCGTAGCTTACCCAAGTGAAAAGAAAACGTGTGTGACAGCAAATGACGAAGTCTCTCTATGCCCTTTTTCCTCTAAGTCTTATTTCAACACGAGCGGTGGCACTCAGTGAGAAACTCCTCATGGAGTAAGGAAACAGATTCATTTTCTTTTTTTTTAATTCAAGTTAGATAACATACAGTGTAGTCTTGGCTCCAGGAGTAGAACCCAGTGATTCAACTCTTACAAAGGACACCCCGTGCTCATCCCAACAAGTGCCCGCCTTAATGCCCGTCACCCCTTTAACCCATCCTCCCACCCACCCACACCAACCCCCAGTTTGTTCTCTGTAGTTACGAGTCTCTTATGGTTTGCCTCCCTCTCTGTTTTTATCTTTTCTTTCCCTTCCGCTATGTCATCTGTTGTGTTTTTCAAATTCCACATATGAGTGAAATCACAGGATATCTGCCCTCCTCTGACTGACTTATTTCGCTCACATGATACGCTCTAGTTCCATCCACGTTGTTGTAAATGGCAAGATTTCATTCTTTTTGACTACCAAGGAGTGTTCCATTGTATAGATACACCACATCTTCTTTATCCACCCACCAGGTGATGGACATTTGGGCTCTTTCCATGCTTCGACTATTGTCAATAGTGCTGTTATAAATACTGGAGTGCATGTGCCCCTTCAAATCAGCACTCCTGTGTTCTTTGGATAAATATCTAGTAGTGCCACTGCTGGCTCGGAGGGTAGTTTTATTTTCAATTTTGGAGGAACCGCCATACTGTTCTCCAGAGTGGCTGTACTAGTTTGCATCCCACCGGCAGTGCAAAAGGGTTCCTCTTTCTCCTCATCCTCGCCAACATCTGTTGTTTCCTGAGTCATTAATTTTAGCCATCCTGACAGGTGTGAGGTGGTATTCCATTGTGGTTTTGATCTGTATTTATTTCCCTGATGATGAGTGATGTTGAGCATCTTTACATGTGTCTGTTAGCCATCCGGATGTCGTCTTTGGAAAAGTGTCTATTCGTGTCTTCTGCCAATCTCTTCGCTACATTATTTGGTTTTTGGGTGTTGAGCTTGGTAATTTCTTTATCGATTTTGGATACTAACCCTCGACCCGATAGGTCATTTGCAAATATCTTCTCGCATTCTGTCGGCTGCCTGTTAGTTTTGTTGATTGTGAAGGAAAACGGTTTCGTACTCTGCTGATGCTATAATTGTCTTCAGTTTGACGTCTCCCACCAAGCCACAGCTTCTTTAACTTTCTAAGGATCTCAGAAGCAGTAATAAGTACCCACTTCCTATAACATGCAACTAATCCATGCTATCACATGAAACCGTAAACTAAGTGAAACTTCCAAGGCCCAATCCAACTGTATCCAGAAACTAGAAATTGAACATTATTGCCAAAATATATAAATAGTTCACAAAAAGGAAACAGCAATAATACTTACTCTTTAAACACATAAAAATACACATACCCTTGATCATTAAAGAAAGGCAGATTGGGGGTGCCTGGGAGGCTCGGTCGGTTAAGCGACCCTTGACCTCGGCTCAGGTCATGATCTCATGGTTTGTGAGATCAAACCAAGCGTCAGGCTCTGCTGACAGAGTGGAGACTGGTTGGGATTCTTGCTCTCCCTCTCTCTCTCTGCCCCTCTCCCACTCGTGCCCACACTCTCTCGCAAAATAAATAAATAAACTTAAAAAAAAAAAGGCAAATTAAAACCATAAGGACCACAACATACATCCATAGATTTTTTTCTTTTTAATTCACCATCCAAAGGCAGAGAGACAGGCCTCCCAAGCCTGGGGTTGAGGGAGAGGGGAAATACTTATTTGTCACCATTATCCTATTTTCATACTGAAAATTGGTGAAGAAAAGGAATTAAGTGTTTACCCTTATTTAATCATAGAGTAAAAACTGCATATAACTTAAAAGATGAAGGAGAGTTCTTCTTTACAGAAAAATCCCAGTTAATAAATACAAAAGAAAGGATCAAATTAAAAATATCACCACTTTGTAATTTCTTATGAAACAGGTGATTCAGACCAAAGTCATCAATGGAGGCTAAAACACACTCAAACCTCAAATCAATCTTAGCACGATAACTGATACAAAACCACAGTTTCTGCATCCTGATGTAGCACAATATCAAGTATATGGAATCACTTACACAGTACCCTTACCAAAACTGTTTAAGTTGCATCAAGCTATTAAATCTGACTTCCAGTTTACAAAACACACACACACACACACACACACACACACACACACACACAGAGTTACAAGATATGAGAAGCAATCAGGTAAATCCAGAAGGTGGAACATTCTACAGAAAAACACACCCAGTTTGTTGAAAAATTTAATAGCACAGGGGGAAAAAATGTGGCAGGGGCTGGAGAGTGAATATGTCTATTATAAAGACATTTAAAGGGCATCTGGGTGGGTCAGTAGCTTAAGCATCTGACTCTTGGTTTCGCTCGGGTCATGATCTCACAGTTCATGAGATCCAGCTGTCAGCGCAGAGCCTGCTTGGGATTCCCTCTCTCTCCACCCTTGCCCCGCTCATGCTCTCTCTCCCCCTCTCTCTAAAAATAAATAAATAAAGACATTTAAGAAATGTAACTGGGGTGCTGGAGTGGCTCAATGGGTTGAGCATCTGACTCTTGATTTCGGCTCAGGTCATGATCTCGCAGTTTTTGTGAGTTCAAGCACAGAGCCCGCTTGGGATTCTCTGCCTCCCCCTCTCCCTGCCCCTCCCCCATTCAAGCTGTCTCTGTCTCTTAAAAGAAATAAACTTAAAAAAAAGTTTTTTTCTCTCTCTCAAAAATAAACAAAAAAACTTTTTTTAATTTTAATGGCTGCAGGGTATCTACAGAAAATATTTAATCAGTTTTCTATTTGTGGATGTTGTTTTTAGGCTTCTGTCATAACAAATAATGCTGCATACATCATTTCCCCTGTGTACAAATACATCTCTAGTATAAATTCTGCAAAGTAGCATTGCTGGGTCAGAGTGTTCGTGTTTATAATTTTGACAGATCTTGCCAAACTGTTCCATGGAACTTGTGTCCATTTATACTCCTACAAGCAGGGCAAGAAGGTCTGTTTCCCCACCCTTTTGTCAATTTAATGCAATTTGAGACTCTTTGACCTGTGCCAATTTGACAGATGAAAACCAAGATCTCCTTTTTAACTTTATTATAAAAACTGATAGGCATATAATAACGTAGAGTGACTAGAATACTGAATACCCACATAGTCAATACCTACACAGGTTTAGTGTGACAGGCAGAGTAGCAGCCCCCTAAAGATGTTCTAGTCCCTGGGATCTGTGAATGTTATGTCACAGCATATATCAATACCTCATTCCTTTTTATTTCTCAGTGATAGTCCGTTGCATGAATGTGCCATATTTGGCTTATCCGTTCATAATTAATACCATTCTGATTGTTTCTGTATTTGCTTCACCCACTTTTTTCAAAGTATTTTAAAGTAAAATAAGGACATTTTCTTCTATAACCGTAATACCATTATCAGACCCAACAAAATTAACAATAAATCCTCCTACCGAGTCCATATTGACATTTCTACAGTTGGCTTTATAATGTCTGTTAGAATTAGGAACTAAATAAGTTGCATTCGTTGCTTCTGGTAGTTACATTTCTTTCTTTCTTTTTAATTTTTTTTTAATGTTTATTTTTGAGAGAGAGGGATATAGAGTGCGTGCTCACGCACAAGCGGGGGAGGGACAGAGAGAAAGGGACACACAGAATCTGAAGCCGGCTCCAGGCTCTGAGCTGTCAGCACAGAGCACAACGAGGGGCTCGAACCCACAAACCGTGAGATCACGACCTGAGCTGAAGTCGATGCTTAACCAACTGAGCCACCCAGGCGCCCCCCTCAAACCACTTTATTTAAAAAAAACTTCTTTTAATGTTTATTTATTTTGAGAGAGAAAGAGAGACAGACACAAGAAAGTGAGCAGGGGAGGGGCAGAGAGAGGGTTGTTGGGTGTTTTTTTTTCATTTTTTTCATTGTTTTTTTCAAGTTTATTTTCTGTAGCCATTTGAGTGAATAAGACAGTTGCATATAAGCACATGTTTACAAAATACATTTTACTTAACTGTAGGGAAAAAAAAGCAAGGGATAGGAGGAAAAAAAGAAAAAGCAAGGCATGTACAGGATGCTGGCACTTGTGTTTAAACACTGTTGTAAAACTACATGAGACATATATGCTTAAATAACCTTGTATTATTCGAGAAGATTCAAAAGAAACTGCTATGAGGAATCACCTCCAGGGAAGGGAGGTGGCTGGGTGGAAGAAAGGAAAGAGAAAAACTTATTTTCCAACTTTCCATACCTTTTGGATTTTCTACGGGTACATGTATGACAGAGGATGGACAGACAGAACGTTAAAAACTTTCTTTTTTGAATCGGCATACCACACAAGTTCACGTGAATCTTCAATCTCCGAGTAACCTCTTACCTGCTGGTTGGTGCAGGGAAAGAAAACGAGAGGAGCTGATTCCAGAACGGGTCATTCTCAGAGACGGATTCCGTGCCCGATAACTTTTTTAAGTACTCATTTTTAGGAAGATCACCGATTCTGCTGCTGTTCGATCCCATCTTCCAATCTGGTAGATAACTTGTCCTTAAGCCTTCATTTCCGCAAGACAATCTACAAAGAATGAAAAGAAATTTCAAACTTGCTCAACATTAATCATACTTTTCCCATCCTTGACCTAAATGAAAAAAAAAAAAACCCAACCCGGAAAATTACTTAAGGGAATCACACTTCTCTTTATTTTTAAATATATTAGACACCAGATACAAAGTCACAAAGGAGAGAAAGGGGCTAAAATTAAAATCTGTATTAGCTAACACACACACAAAAGTCCAACTCCATGCTTTAGATCTTCAAATGAGCATAGCTCTGCCTAGGAAACGTCTCAAAGCAAATCCCTAACAAAGATAACTTCTTACCAATTGTCTGAAAATGAAGCTACTTTTATTTTTTAGTGTTCATTTATATTTGAGAGGAAGAGAGAGAGAGAGAGAGCACAAGGGAGGCACAGAGAGAGAGGGAGACACAGAATCCGAAGCAGGCTCCAGGTTCTGAGCTGTCAGCACAGAGCCTGACACAGGGCTCGAACCCATGAGCCATGAAATCATGACCCCAACTGAAGTCGGACGTTTAAGTGACTGAGTCACCCAGACGTCCCTGAAAATGAAGGCCTTTTACAACAAATGATGGTGATAAAGAGATAGAGAGTGCATATCTTGAACGTGCTCAGAAGGGGGGCAAGTAGCCGAAGGGACGGCCATCAGCTACCTACACTCAGGGGAGAAGGAACCTGAACTGAGTTATGTGCTGAAAGAGAACGGGCTCCCCGTTCCAAAGCTGACACTTAGTGTCCCTCTCGTTGTGCTGTCATGCATATCAGCATTAGCTGGCAGGCTTCTTCCCCTAAACCATGAGGCACTTGGTTTCTCTGAAAATAAGAACTGATTCACCTTCCTCTCCCCAGTGTCTAGACTAGCATGTAACAGGTATGCCCTGAGCAGTATGCTGAAGGAAAGCTTAGGCGAATAAATGATCAGCATCTGCAACATCTGTTGTGCTTGAGGTTTTTTTGTTTGTTTTTCTTTTTGTTCTTTTGACAGTGCAAACCATTTATTCTGGCTTCTTCTGGTGGTCCTCAGGGTCATCAGGGCACACTGAGCCCCACACAGCACCGCGGCAGGCCTGGGACACAGCAAGGCACAGAGGCGAGTCCAGCATCAGGTGACACTGACGGCCAGGGACGTCTGAGCACCAGGAGGCGGCCAGGCACTGGCCAGGGGCGTGGGGACCCCCGAGGGACAAGCAGTTCCAGTGTGTACTGAGGGGGAACAAACTGACCCCAACGTGGGCCTTACGGCAGTTCCTCGGGACATTCACAGCACAGGGGTGAAAACGCCCCTCAGCGCATCCGTGAGCAGCAGGCCAGCCTCGCGGCCCCACGGCAGCCCCCCATTCCTCATGCGCCCGTCAAAGGGGCTCCCCCAGGGCAAGTGTCCACCAACCACACTAGGGTCCAGCCCCCTTGTTCCGGGAAAGGCCAGAAGCTGGTAATGGCCTCAGGGCCCAGCTGTTGCCGAGGCCACCCCAGGCCCTGCGGGGATGTGCAGACAGGGTGGGTGCAGATGGGGCCAGGGAGGGGACTTCTGCAGGAAAGGGCTCTTCTCTTCCCAAAGCCCCGGCCCCTCCAGCCAGGTGTGGACAAGTGAGGGTGGTGCTGTAGGGCCCAGCTGTGCCCCAGGCAGCCCAGGGAGACCACGGTGAAGGCAGAAGGTTTAGATAAAGCATGAATTGCTGTCTTCATCAAACCACACTTGACATAGTTCTAGATCATGCTCTATCTCAATTTGTTCAGGAAAGCCTCTCACTGACAATATAAAATGGTGGTAAGATGAATAATAATTACACTATGCTAAAATTACCATTGCAATGAAAGGAAACCATGTCCAAAGGGAAAACTCCGGTTGGATGAGAACCTCCATTGGTAGCAACTTACTTTCTTACGTCTGTCCCTCCTTACTCCACAGAGACACTGAAGCCAACATCAGAATTTGGAAGCATGCCTTCCACATTCTCTTTGGAACTTTGCGACTGGACTAAGCTAAATTACCTAAATGGATGAGGCTCCCCCAGTGCACACAGACAGCCGGTCTTCTGAACAGGAGGGAGAAATACTAATCTGGCTTCCTGTCACCTGGCCCTGAATTCAACACCACCTAGCATTTTCTTCTTCCCTACCCAGGGGACAGGGACCCCAAAACCAGCTGGCTCCAACTAAGCCTCCATATCAAGCCAGCTAATCGTACGTCTAGATTGTGGTTTAATTTTTTATTTTTATTTTTAAAAAATCCGGAAGCTTCACAAATCTACATGTCACCCTTGCACAGGGGGCCACACTAATCTTCTCCGTATCGTTCCAATTTTAGTATGTGCGCTGCCCAAGCCAGCACTGTGGTTTAATATCTTAAATGAGGAATTAGTAAGCCCAATTAGAAAATGCTATAAAAATATTCTGAAATATATAAATGCCTTACTTGTCACACCCAATTCCAAAGCTATTTTACACATTTTAAGTCATTTAAAATGAAATGTTTTAATATAATCTTACAATGGGGTACATTACACTAATGAAAATGAATTAACTAGAGCTACAATTACCAACATGGACAAAATACACACTAAAGAAAATGCTACAGAATAACAGACATGGTGTGATTTCACTTATATATATGATTTTAAAACATGCGAACAATATCATGGATATGTTCATACCTACTACAAATTATTAAAATATACATGGAAAAAATACACAGCAAATTCAGAAGAATGCTTTTACAGAATGTTATCAGGAGAGGAACAGAGGAGCTTTAGCGGTATCAATAAACACTTTCTCAAACAGAAAAGGGGAAAGGAACAGCGGGAAAGGGATGGGGGCACCTAGCTGGCTCGGTCAGTTAAGCGTCTGACTTTGGCTCAGGTCATGATCTCATGGTTAGTGGGTTCGAGCCCCGCATCAGGCTCCGTGCTGACAGCTCAGAGCCTGGAGCCTGCCTCAGATTCTGTCTCTCTCTCTCTCTCTCTCTTTCTCTCTCTCTCTCTGCCCCTCCCCCGCCTCACGTTCTGTCTCTTCAAAACAAATAAACGTTAAAAAAATAATAAAAAAATAAAATTATAGAAAGGGGATGAAGCACATGTGCCAAATATTTAGACTTGCTGAAAATGGACAGTATGTACAGGGGTCTGGCCTATTACCCTCTGTTCCTGCCATAAATATAGAGTGAGAGTTGTTTTAAAAGAATGGTTTCTCAATCACTCAGCAGCAATACTGGAAGGTAAATGACAGGGAAGCAATGTCTCTAAAATATTAATAAAAAATAATTTTAGGGGTGCCTGGGTGGATCAGTTGGTTGAGCATCCGACCTGGCTCAGGTCATGATCTCACGATTTGTGAGTTCAAGCCCCACGTGAAGCTTGCCGTAGTCAGCACAGAGCTGGCTTCAGATCCTCTGTCCTCTCTCTCTGCCCCTCCCTTGCTCACGCTCTCTCAAAAATAAATAAAAACATTTAAGAAAATAATAATAACAATTTTAACTACAATTCTTTGGCTAGCCAAGCTACCAGTTAAGTATAAAGGTAGAATAAAGGCATTTTTAGACTTGCCGCAACTCAAAAAAGCCTCCCATGGCCCCATCTTCTGGAAGGTGCTGGAAGATGTACCCTTTCAAGGTGAGTGAATAAACCAAGAAAAATGAAGACAAGGAATTCAAGAAACAAAGGCTGCAACACAAGACAGGAGTAAGAGACGCCCAGGAGAAGACACGTGCAGCAGGCTGGGACACGAGTCGAGACGGCCCCATGACCTCCGGGGGGAAGCAAGCCAGAGAGCGACAGGTCACCTGACATGTCTGACCTTATTCTGTGGCGCGTTACCAATATTGTAGGAGAATCTGGTAGGAACGAAGGACAGCTACACAGAAAACAAATGATTTTTTAATTACGCACTGTGGAAAAAACAAAAATTGTTTAAGGGTCATGTAATCATAGTACATGACTCAATTCTACAGTTATCGATCTTTATATAATCATCACAATAGAAAAAGTAGACATTTAACCAAAAATTGCGAGGGAACTATATTGGGAAGATGCTTAAAAAAGAATCAGTAGTGGTGGTTTAAGAGTGTGAAATTCTCATCTTCCATAATAGGCAGGAAGTCAGCAGAAAATACCTAATTACTAAATCGGCAAATAACAGTGAAAGTATATTAGTTATAAATCAGGAAATAAATAACCAGAAACAACAGCTAAGAGACTGGAGTGCAGCCCTCTCTGGAGTGGAGAGGGTGGTCATGCAGTCTTTTTGTTTTGTGTCCATCAGATTATCTGAGTTTTTTTAACTATGTCTATGTATTACTTTGATTTTAAAAATTAAATATGTTTAAGCTCCTTCACCTACTCACAGTTAAATTTTTGACACGTATGGAAAACACAAAGTTACCATCATAACGAAATTCGTAGTGACCAAAACTGTAAATTATTCTTTACGGAGGCAAACAATTAGCAAACTTTAAGAAATCTATTTGTCTGATATAGTTTAATGTCATTATATTATTAAAGTTATCTCCCAAAATCTAAATTTCAGATTTCCACCATTATGTGTTTACTGACAAGCCGTAGTCACAGCTTGGTCAGAAAAGAGGAACTGAATTCAAACCCACAGTAGGGATAAACACATAGATCAATGAAACAAAACAGAAAATCCAGAAAGGGACTCACTAGAATACAACCAGCTGATTTTTGTCAACAATGCAAAAGCAATTCAATAGAGCAAAGACCGTTCTTTGAACAAATGGTGCTGGAATCCAGAGGCCACTAACAAAAAACCCTTGCATCTTAAAAGTTAACTCAAAATAGGGGCGCCTGGCTGGCTCAGTCAGTAGAGCCTGCGACTCTTGATCTCAGCGTCATGAGTTCAAGCCCCACACTGGACACAGAGCTCATTTAAATAAATAAATAAATAAATAACTCAAAATAAATCACAGACCTAAACATAAAACAAAAGTCTATAAAACCCTTTTTAGGAGAGAACAAGGGAGAAAATCTTTGTGACCTGGGGTTAGGAGGGGCTTATTAGACATAACACAAAAGCACAGCCCATAAAAAAACAAAGGTGACAAATTAAGCTTCACAAAAATTAAAAACTTTTGGTCAGTGCAAGACCCTGCAAAGAGAATGAAAAAAAAAAAAAAAAAAAAAAAAAAAAAAAAAAAAGCCACAGACTTAGAGAAAATATTTATAAGTCACAGAGCCAACAAAGGACTTGTACCCAGAACACAGAAGGAACTCTCTGAACTCAACAATGAGAAAACAGTCCAATCAGAAAATATGCAGAAGATTTTAACACATCACCAAAGAAGATAGGCAAATGACAAACCCATGAAAAGATATTCCATCATTATTAGCCATTAAGGAACTACAAATTAAGAGCACAATGATATACTGCTAGTACACATCTACTGGAATCGCTAAGATAAAAAACAAACAAACACTGAGAGTACCAAAGCTGCCAAGGATGCAGAGAAAGTGGCACTCTCATACAGTGCAGGTCGGAACGTAACATGGAACAGCAACTCTGGCAAACGGTTACGCGGTTTCTTATCAAGTTAAACACAGACATACTATTTGACCCGGCAGTTGCATTCCTGGACTACGTATGATCCCAGAGAAACGAAAACTTAAGTTCACACAAAAAAACTACCCAAATGTTCTTTCAGCACGTGAATGAATAAGCGAACTGAGGTCCCTCCGTATAATGGAATAAAAAGAAGGAACCCTTTGATATATCCAGTAACTTGCACAGGTCTCCAGGGCATTGTGATAAGGGAGCAAAGCCCACCCCCAAAAGTTACAGACTCAAAATAAGAAGAGCCACACTGTGTTTAGTGATTCTAGTTTATATAAAAGTGAGTGAACAACGGGGATGATAAAAGGAACGGAAGAGAGGAATGAGGATGATGTACTTTGTTATCGCAAGGTACTTGCGCTACCTGTGAAATGGTAGGGTGTGGTCTGAAAGTGCACTCGGGTTAGCTGTGTGTATTGCAAACACAAGGGCAACCACTAAACAAAAGTTTTAAAAAGCGCAATGGACATGCTAAGAAAGGAGAGAGAAGGGATTCACGTAAGTACTCCATCAGCACCACAAAAGGCAGAGAAAGAGAAGACAAAAAAAGGAACAAAAATAAGGGCAGTGAATAGAAAAGAGGAACTAACACTGGTAGACATTAATCCAACTTTATCAATAATCACCCTGAACATCAATGGCCTAAATCTGCCAATTAAAAGAGATTGTCAAAGTGGATCAAAAAATAAGACCCAACCAAATGTGTCTACAAGAAACACTTTATATTTTGTTTAATATTTTGTTGTTGTTGTTGTTGTTGTTTTAGGGGGGAGAGAAGGTGTGCACGCACATGAACGGGGGAGGGGCAGAGAGAAGGGGGGACAGAGGACCCAAAGCAGGCTCTGCGCTGAGCCACCAGGCACCCCAAGAAACCCACTTTAAATGTACGAGACACATACAGATTAAAAGTAAAGAGATGGAGAGAGATGTATCACTTAACACTAATCAAAAGAAAGCAGGAGAAGCTGTATTAATCGTAGACACAGTCGACTTCAGAGCAAGGAAACTTATCACAGATTAAAAAAAAAAAAACAAAAGAGCATTACATAATGATAAAGGAGTCAACTGTCCAAGGAGACCTAATCTTAATGTGGCCCGCCTAGCACAACAGCGTCAGAATACAGGAGGCAAAAACTACCCAGAACTGCAAGGAGAGGTAAACCACGATTATGAACGAAGACCTGAGCACACCTCTCTCGGAAATGCTCAGACCCAGCGGGGAATAAAATCAGTAAGGACCTGACGGATCTATACACCACCATCAATCAACCGGATCTGACATCTACAGCCTACTTCATCCAACAACAGCGGAATACACATTGCCCTCCAGTTCACACTGAATAGTCACCAAAACAGACCACATTCTGGGCCTTAAAACATCCTAACTAATTTAAAAGAAGCGCTTTTGAGCGCTCAAAACCAAGAAGCTTGAGAATAAAGAAACGACTGAGATGACCACATGCGGCAATATTCTGACAAACGCAGGATACACGACATTCGTTGTAAAGAACCACCACCCTGTGCATGGGGTTGGGGGCTTCTCCCAACTGGAGGAGACTGAAGGGATATTGTAACAACCAAATGTATACATGAATCTTCAATGAACCCAGATTTGTAAAGAGAAAAAACCATTATAAAAGACAATCTTGAGACCCAACTGGATATGGACTGAATAGAAGATATCATACGGACATAAGTGAGATAATGATAGTGTAAGTAGAAAAATGACCTAATTCTTAGGAGATGTGTGCTTGAACATTTAGTGGTAAA